CCAGGCACGGACTCCACTGCACCTCTGAAGGTTGACCCACCCAGGCACGGACTCCACTGCACCTCTGAAGGTTGACCCACCCAGGCACTGACTCCACTGCACCTCTGAAGGTTGACCCACCCAGGCACGGACTCCACTGCACCTCTGAAGGTTGACCCACCCAGGCACGGACTCCACTGCACCTCTGAAGGTTGACCCACCCAGGCACGGACTCCACTGCACCTCTGAAGGTTGACCCACCCAGGCACGGACTCCACTGCACCTCTGAAGGTTGACCCACCCAGGCACGGACTCCACTGCACCTCTGAAGGTTGACCCACCCAGGCACGGACTCCACTGCACCTCTGAAGGTTGACCCACCCAGGCACGGACTCCACTGCACCTCTGAAGGTTGACCCACCCAGGCACGGACTCCACTGCACCTCTGAAGGTTGACCCACCCAGGCAAGGACTGCACTAGACCTCTGAAGGTTGACCCACCCAGGCACGGACTGCACTAGACCTCTGAAGGTTGACCCACCCAGGCACGGACTCCACTAGACCTCTGAAGGTTGACCCACCCAGGCACGGACTCCACTAGACCTCTGAAGGTTGACCCACCCAGGCACGGACTCCACTAGACCTCTGAAGGTTGACCCCCCACCCAGGCACGGACTCCACTAGACCTCTGAAGGTTGACCCACCCAGGCACGGACTCCACTAGACCTCTGAAGGTTGACCCACCCAGGCACGGACTCCACTAGACCTCTGAAGGTTGACCCACCCAGGCACGGACTCCACTAGACCTCTGAAGGTTGACCCACCCAGGCACGGACTCCACTAGACCTCTGAAGGTTGACCCACCCAGGCACGGACTCCACTAGACCTCTGAAGGTTGACCCACCCAGGCACGGACTCCACTAGACCTCTGAAGGTTGACCCACCCAGGCACGGACTCCACTAGACCTCTGAAGGTTGACCCACCCAGGCACGGACTCCACTAGACCTCTGAAGGTTGACCCACCCAGGCACGGACTCCACTAGACCTCTGAAGGTTGACCCACCCAGGCACGGACTCCACTGCACCTCTGAAGGTTGACCCACCCAGGCACGGACTCCACTGCACCTCTGAAGGTTGACCCACCCAGGCACGGACTCCACTGCACCTCTGAAGGTTGACCCACCCAGGCACGGACTGCACTGCACCTCTGAAGGTTGACCCACCCAGGCACGGACTGCACTGCACCTCTGAAGGTTGACCCACCCAGGCACGGACTCCACTAGACCTCTGAAGGTTGACCCACCCAGGCACGGACTCCACTAGACCTCTGAAGGTTGACCCACCCAGGCACGGACTCCACTGCACCTCTGAAGGTTGACCCACCCAGGCACGGACTCCACTGCACCTCTGAAGGTTGACCCACCCAGGCACGGACTCCACTGCACCTCTGAAGGTTGACCCACCCAGGCACGGACTCCACTAGACCTCTGAAGGTTGACCCACCCAGGCACGGACTCCACTAGACCTCTGAAGGTTGACCCACCCAGGCACGGACTCCACTAGACCTCTGAAGGTTGACCCACCCAGGCACGGACTCCACTGCACCTCTGAAGGTTGACCCACCCCGGACTGCACTGCACCTCTGAAGGTTGACCCACCCAGGCACGGACTGCACTGCACCTCTGAAGGTTGACCCACCCAGGCACGGACTCCACTAGACCTCTGAAGGTTGACCCACCGAGGCATGGATTCCACTAGACCTCCAACGGTATGCTGTGGTATCCGGCACCAAACTGTCAGTGGCAGATTCTTTAAGTCCTGTAAGTTACAAGATGGGGCTCTTCATGGATCGTACTTGTTTTCTCAGCACATCCCACAGATGCTTGATGGATTGAGATCTGGAGAACTTCAAGGTCAAATTCAATACCTAAAGCTTTCTTGCATTGATGAGACCAGGTCACCTTCCATTGCTCCATGGTCCAGTTCTGATGCACACGTGCCCTTTGTAGACATGGGTCAGCATGGGCACCCTGACCAGTATACAGCCCTGTGATGCTCTGCATTCTGACACCTTTCTATCAGAACCAGCTTTAACTTTTTCGGCAAGCTCTCCCCCCCCCCCCCCCCCGACAGCAGCTCTTCTACATAAGCCAGCAGTTTCTCCCCATATTCATCAATGAGCCTTGGCTGCCCATGACCCTGTGGCGGGTTTACCTTCCTCAGACCAGTTTTGGGACATCCTACAAGAGTTGCAGTTTTGGAGTTGCTCTGACCCAGTCATCTAGGTATTACAATTTGTCTCTTGTCAAAGTCCCTAAAATCTTTACTCTTGGCTATTTTTTCTGCTTTGAACACATCAACTTCAGGGACAACTCAACAGCACATCTGAGAGACAAAATTGTCACCCCCTAACAGGAAGTGTCTCAACAAGAACTTTCATGGCAGGATCAACATATTTTGTTGTAATCAGTGTACTTGAAAATCTTGAAAAAACATTTGTCGTTGTCTTCCACTGCAGCTAATCAAGCACAAACTGTGCTTGATTAGCTGCATCTACAGCAGCCAGGGAATGACAGCTGTGAATCTGGAAGGGTCATAATATACACTAAAATTGCCAAATGTATTGGGCCGCCTGTCTTTACACACACATGAACTTTAATGACATCCCAGTCTTAGTCCACAGGGTTCAGTATGGAGTTGTTCCGCCCTTTGCAGCTATAACAGCTTCAACTCTTCTGGATAGGAAATGTTTAGGAGGGTGTCTATGGGAATGTTTGGCCATTCTGGTCGAGAAGGCCTGGCTCGCAGTCTCCACTCCAATTCATCCCAAAGGTGTTCTATAGGATTGAGGTCAGGACTCTGTGCAGGTCAGTCAAGTTCCTCCACCCCAAACTGGCTCCTCCATGTCTTTATGGACCTTACTTTGTGCACTGGTGTGCAGTCATGTTGGAACAGGAAGGGGCCATCCCCAAACTCTTCCCACAAAGTTGGAAGCATGAAATTGTCCAAAATGTCTTGTTATGCTGTTCCCTTCACTGGAACTAGGGGGCCAAGACCAACCCCGGAAAAACAACCCCACACCATAATCCCCCTCCAAAACTTTACACTTGGCATATTGCAGTCAGGCAAAGTGCCGTTCTCCAGGAAATCACCAAACCCAGACCTCGGATTGCCAGACAGAGAAGCATGATTGGTCACTCCAGAAAACACATCTCCACTGCTCTAGAGTCCAGTGGCGGCGTGCTTTACACCACGGCATCCGACGCTTTGCATTGCACTTGGTGATGGAAGGCTTGGATGCAGCTGCTCGGCCATGGAGACCCATTCCATGAAGCTCTCTACGCACTGTTGTTGGGCTCATCTGAAGGCCACACCAAGTTTGGAGGTCTTTAGCTATTGACTCTGCAGACAGTTGGCGACTTCTGCGCACTGTGCACTTCAGCATGCGCTGACCCAGCCCTGTCATGTGACGTGGCCTACCACTTGGTGGCTGAGTTGCTGTTGTTCCCAGTTGCTTCCACTTTGTTATAATCCCACTAACAGTTGAGCGTGGAATATTTAGTAGCCAGGAAATGTCAAGGATGGACCTACTGCACAGGTGACAACCTATCACGGGACCACGCTTGGAGTCACTGAGCTCCTGAGAGCCTTTTTTACACCTGTGGCATGGAGGGGATTTGAACGCTTGAATCCAATGATTTGAAGGACTGGTCCAATACTTTTGGCATTAGAGTGTACGTCGCTTCCATCTTCATGGGGAATCGAGGAATGGATGCTCCCAAATGACCTTCTACTCTCACTGTAGGAGCCATTTATGATGGTCCTGGGCTTCCCAGAGGAAAGAGAAAACTTGAGAACCACCATGGGCCCTATCGGCAGAAGGGTGGATACACCTGAGCTCCCTAAAAGTGGTCCAGAGCTGCCCAGATCACTTATCGGAAAGCCCTTTGCCAGCTCCAGTAATCCACACCTAGCTTGCTTTAACCCATTGTATATTGGGCTATTTATAAATGCACTTTGGTAGACAAGGGGTTAAAGACTATATTTTAAGCCTTACACCCCTATTTTGATTCCTGGACCTGTGAATTTTATTGTGTGTAATGAATTTTCACTTGGAAATGCCTAAAATACCCTTAAAAGGCTGTTTTCTGCTCTGACACTGCACCTCCCCAGGGATTGGCTCACTCAGCCACAGGAACATCGGTTGTCTCCTGTCGATATCCACCAGGCTCCTTCCCTGTGTGGGAGATGTAGACTCACCAAATTGTGCTCTCTCCCAAAGCTTCCTAACTGCTCTATCTAGACCCTCTGGACTGACAACTCATGAGGCCCCCGGGCAATAGGGGATCAGGTGCCAGGGGCATCTCATGGGGCCCCCTACTGACCCCGGGCCCTCAATAGGGGATCATGAGGTCCCTGTGTCCTTGCCCAAACTCAAAAAAGCCTATTAAAAAGGTACCAGGGGTATCTGATGGGGCCCCCTACTGACCCCGGGCAGTGCCCGAGTTTCCAAATGGTCAGTCCCCCCCTGGCCCACCCCCAGCTAAGTGTAGCTGGGACCTCTATGTCTTGAGGCTTTCTTCCTTCCCTGGCATCTGCCCAGGAGGGCAAGGTCCCTCAACAGGGGTCTCTGGACCAAGGAACACTGCACCAACATAATGCAAGCTGCCCAAGCCTCAGACTATTTATGGTCTCCACACCACACACCTTCCTAGGGATTGGCTGAAGTCCCATAAATATTTATTTCAGGTACTTATATAGGGCCATCTATTCATGCAGAACTTTACACATATACATTGTACATTCACATCAGTCCATATCCCTCAAGGGGCATGGAATCTAAGGTCCCCAACTTACGATCATACACATACTAGGGCCAATTTGGACAAGAGACAATTAACCTACCAGCATGTCTTTGGAGTGTGGCGGAAACCGGGGTACCCAGAGGAAACCCACACAGGCACAGGGAGAACATGCAAACTCCAGGCAGGTGGTGCTGTGGTTGGGATTTGAACTAATGACCAGGGGCGGACTGACCATTTGGAAACTCAGGCACTGCCCAAGGGCCTGGGGTCACTAGGGGGCCCCATGAGATGCCCCCGTACCTTTTTCATAGGCTTTTTTTTCCAGTTTGGGCAAGGACACAGGGGCCTCATGATCCCCTATTGCCCGGGGGCCCCCATGAGTTGTCAGTCCGCCCCTGCTAATGACCCTAGTACTGCAAGGTGGAAGTGCTAACCACTTAGCCAAATATTCAGCCCTCCCATGATGTTCTAGAAATCTCGAGAAGATGGGGGGAGTAGCAGAGTAGCAGTCGGTGAAACCCTGAGCAGCCCCAATCACTCAATTCCTGCTCCACTAATTACAACCTGCTCTAAACCTAGGAGGGTGCTACACACAGTTAAAAAAGGACATGCACTTTAAATTTTGATGGGGTGTTTGTATGGATTCCATTCATGGGAGATGTTCCTCTGGACACATGGATGTTGGCTTCTGATCATGGTGTACTCAGTTAAAGGGAAAGCGCACCTATATTCTGCATTCCATTTTGTTTTTATGTTGTATTTCTGATTTTTAGTGTGCAGCTTTTCTGTTTATTGCAACACAAAGCGCAGGATTTTCTCTTTATATTTATTTATAATTTTTTATGCTTTTGCATTTCTAAAGCCCCCAACAGATAATGTTGCCTTGATTTGGCCATTTACCATGAGATTGGGAACGGTCCTATCTTTGTGAGCGTATATAAAATGTCCCCTGGCTGAGCGAGAGGAATTGACTGGTATGGATTTTTCTCCTTAGTAAAAGGCATCGCCTGCAGAGCTCCCCCCTCCCCCCTCCACAAATATAGGCTTGGAAGTCTGTGTGATACAAATTGGAATGGTTTTAGAATGCAAGAGCGGCCATTGGTGGCCAGATCATGTGTGCATGGCTGGAACACCTTCTGCAATGGCTCATTTACACATGTGATGCCTCCCGAAGAGCGATCTCCATTCGGATCGCTCTTCAGAAGGCATTTGATAGGGAGGAGGTGCTAGATCGCCTTTTCATCACCTGTTTTAACCCCTTAAACCTCACAGCAGCACACTACAACTGCATGCATATGGGACATTACAAGTGGTTGTGAGGAGCAGCCAGTTGAATGCGTCACATTCAGCCGTGGTACTGCCCACCAAACATGAAAGCGGGGGATACAGGGGCGGACTGACAACTCATGTGGCCCCCGGGCAATAGGGGATCATGGGGCCCCTGTGTCCTTGCCCAAACTCAAAAAAGCCTATGAAAAAAGGTACCAGGGGCATCTCATGAGGCCCCCTACTTACGCTGGGCCCTCGGGCATTGCCCGAGTTTCCAAATGGTCAGTCCGCCCCTGCGGGGATACTTTTTGCCATGATGCAAAAAACATTGTTGACACAGCCTATGCACAGCTCCCCCCCCCCCCCCCCCCCAGCTGCATTTGCCATTTAAGATGATTGTAAACCTCATACATGAAAAATGAACAAAGCACATCCCTCCATAGCGTTTGTCTCAGTCCAGAGCACCAAGTGTCATTTCTGTCTGCTGCCTCCTTCCTCTGTCATAAGCATGAGTCACTTCTGACAAGTTTTCCTGACACCAAAAAATGAATGGTGACATGGGAGGAAGCTCCAGCACACAACCTGATTGACAAGTTCAGCTCTGTAGCTGTGTGCAGGCGGGTCATGTCCCTTTCCCTCCAATCAGCTCCCAGTGCTCTCCTCACTGAACCCTGCGGAGTGTAAATTTCAGCACCCTGGCCCCCTCTTTTTCTGAAATCTTAGGCAAGCTTTATAACTTCTAAAAACTGAGTGGATATAGGAGAGAATACTGCAGGTAAACAGGTACAACTTATGGAGGATTTGTTTCATCTCTGTATCGCCTGAGGCCAGTCACTTTACTGGGCATAAATCTCTGTATCTCAGTCACTTTCTGGGCATAACCCATCTCTGTATCGCCTGAGGCCAGTCACTTTACTGGGCATAAGTAAGTGGTTACAGCTACTTAAAAGAGGGGGCACGGGGTTGGTGGATCGTATATATCTGCCCCCAAACACAAGTATAAACAAGGCATAAAAGGGCAACCAACGCATATGCTGTTGCATGCATTATTTGGAGCATTCTACTATAATTTCTTTGGCTAGACCCAACCCATTAAAATGAACGCCTAGCACAGTCCAAAGTGCCTGCGCCTGCACTCGGTTGCAAACCGGGCCATTCCTACCTCCCCCCAGCACATCTAAACAAAGGGTTGGGATTTTGGACTTCAGTGCCCTTACATGACCGCATCTGGTCAATGTAATTGGCTAAATATAGCCATGTGTCCATATCAGGGCATTCACATCACCAGCATCACGCCCCTTTGTTTACGTGTGGTGATTGGGGTAGGAATGACCTGGTTTGCAGCTGAATGCAAATAAGGGGTGGGAATCTGGTGACCTCAGTGCCCTTACATGACCGCATCTAGTCAATGACATTGGCTAAATATAGGCATGTGTCCATATAAACCGCGGAAAAAAAAAAAAAAAAAAGTGTGAACCTCTGAAACTTGGCGCTTCCGAAGTTTGGAAGTCATACTAAAGTCAATGGAAATCTGAACCAGGCTTCAAAAATTCTATATATTGCAAAGCAGAAAAATGATGCAGAATGATTTGATAAACTTCTGGCAGCTCTTCCAGATGAGGAGATGGGGCAAAAAAACAACCCTGAACTCTTCCATTACAAAAATTTAATCAGGAGTTCTTATCTCCAAAAGTGGGACCTGGTGGCATTGGCAGTCAAGAAAAGGGTACTCAGATAGCAGCAGTCCATTGGCGGGTCGGACGCCCCCTTCCATAGGCCGGCCGGACGCCCCCTTCCATAGGCCGGCCGGACGCCCCCTTCCATAGGCCGGCCGGACGCCCCCTTCCATAGGCCGGCCGGACCCCCCTTCCATAGGCCGGCCGGACGCCCCCTTCCATAGGCCGGCCGGACGCCCCCCTTCCATAGGCCGGCAGGACGCCCCCCTTCCATAGGCCCGGACGCCCCCTTCCATAGGCCGGCAGGACGCCCCCTTCCATAGGCCGGCAGGACGCCCCCTTCCATTGGCCGGCAGGACGCCCCCTTCCATAGGCCGGCAGGACGCCCCCTTCCATTGGCCGGCAGGACGCCCCCTTCTTCCATTGGCCGGCAGGACGCCCCCTTCCATTGGCCGGCAGGACGCCCCCTTCCATTGGCCGGCAGGACGCCCCCTTCCATTGGCCGGCAGGACGCCCCCTTCCATTGGCCGTCCGCGGGAAGGACGCCCCCTTCCATTGGCCGTCCGCAGGAAGGACGCTCCTTCCATTGGCCGTCCGTGGGAAATCCTTCTTTCAGATCGCTAAAAGAATCATTGGTGTCTGTGCAATAAGCGATTTCTTCTTCTCAGATGAGCAACAATCAAAGGAACCCCTAGCAACCTCTAGATAACCCCAAGGTTCCATGGATCCCTGGTTGAGAACCTCTGTCCTAGACAGAGCAAGCTCAATATCTGCTTCAGTGCTGTTGTACCCTTGGTAGTATTTAGGTTGGGCTATGTTAACAATAAAATGGTAACCAGCCTCCACCTTCTAGATCCGAGCCCTAGAGGTAGTCCTGCACTGAAAGCATGGCTTTAATACAGGCTACTGCCCATATTGGCAATCCCAGAGATCTCTGGCTAAAAACGTGCCATCAACTTATTTTAGAAGAAAAAGGATGGCGGTTAGATGTGTAGGTCTTAATTTTTTCTCTCTCCAACTTATTTCAGCAGGAGGCTATAAGTCTATATTGATGTGCCGTTGCTTAGAAGCAAGTTATCATGAAAAGTGGAATTGAAAGTAGAATTGAAGCTCCTACCCATGTCAAACAGCAGGCACTGTCAACATGTGACAGAAAAATAAACAGTTTACAGACGCACAATCTTGGTTGTTGTCTCTATTCGTCCACGAAGACCGTTTTTATTATTGACTTATTAAATTGAACTTTGACCATTAAAGCATTTCTAAACTCAACAGAATTGTAGTATTTTCCAGATTACCAGACTTACGATGTGGTGGCCGAATTACTTTTCCAACTTTTTTTTTTTTTTCTATCGATAACACTCTTCCTGTCCTAGGGCGTCAATGCGCTGTCTGTACCGTCATAAATGGAGGAGCAACGTTGTCCTCCTAGAACAGGATTTGGGGGCACCACTACAGATCATGTGGTCTCGTGGGAAAATTGCAGTTTTAAAGCGTGTCATGTTTGGTATCCATTTACTCGGCATACCATCATCTTTTATACTTTTTCAAATAATTGGCCAATATATTGTGTATTTTTTTTTTTTGCATTAAAACAAAAACAAAAAAAAAAAAATGTGACATAAAATTGCAGCACTCACCATTTTATTTTTTTTTTACAACTGAGCCAAATCTGCGATTAAATTTATTTTGAAAAAAAACATCCCCCATAAAAATTCAATAAAATTCATGCCCGAGGACTATGTTCATCCCCCACAAGTAATGCATCCCCCACTCACCATTTTAGTTTCATAGGGCAGTGGGTGGGCAACCTTTTTCTTCAACTGAGCCAAATCTCGCCCAAAACCACGATTGAAATTTATTTTGAGAGCCACATTTTTAACCCCCCCCCCTGAAAATACATCCCCCATATAGTAATTCACCCCCCCCTATAGTAATTCACCCCCCCCTATAGCAATTACTCCCCCCCTATAGCAATTCACCCCCCCCAATAGCTGCAATTCACCCCCCCCCCCTATAGTAGCAATTCACCCCCCTATAGTAATTCACCCCCCCTATAGTAATTCATTCCCCATATTGTGTCAATTCACTTACCTTTGCTCCGCGCGTTCCTCTCGCCGTGTTCCCGCGCCGTTCCGGTCCCGCCTGCATCCTGACACCCAATGTTTGCCACGCTCCGCGGGCCGGATTAAAAAGGTCCGCCGGGCCGTAGTTTGCCCATTGCTGGGCTAGCTGCAGAGTCCTGACTTTTGGGGTGGCCGCCCGAGAGGAGGGAGGGGAGCGGGCGCCCGGCACACAGAAGAGCCGCATTAAAGTGTGTAAAGAGCCGCATGTGGCTCGCGAGCCGCGGCTTGCCGACCACTGCACTAGGGTGTTTGCTTTAAAAAATATATAATGTTTGGGGGTTTAAATTAATTTCCTAGCAAAATATACAGATTTTTTTTATGTGAACAAAGTATCAGAAAAGGCTTGGTCTTCAGGTGGTTAGAAGGGCGAGTGATGTGTGGCATAAACTTCTAATGCTGGGCATAAAACGCTCCCACCCCCCAAATGACCCATTTTTGGAAATTAGACACCCCAAAACTATTTGCTGAGAGGCATGTTGAATCAATAGAAGAATTTTATTTTTTTTACCACACGTTTTTGGAAAAAGAAACAAAATTTTGTTGTTTTTTTTTTTAAACACAAAATTGTCACTTAAATGATTTACTGCTCACACATGTCATGGTTATATGTGGAATTATTCCCCAAAATACATTTAGCTACTTCTCCCGAGTATGGGGGTACCACGTGAAACATTTTGGCAATCTAGCCAAGTACAGAATCCCAAAATCTAATAAGCACCTTCAGGCTTTTATTTCCTCATTACACTTCCTGACTACCTATCACAGTTTTGGAGGCCCTGAAATGCCAGGATAGCACCAAACCCCCCCCCCAATGACCACTTTTTGGAAAGTAGACACCCCAAGGAATTTGATAAGAAGCATGATGAGTATTTTGCAGATCTCATTTGTTGCCACAAGTTTTTGAAAAAAGAAAAAAAAAACCAAAAACATATTTCTTTTTTTTTTATATTTCAAAACCTTGCGAGAAAAAAAATGAGATTCTGCAAAATGCTCACCATGCCTCTTTTTAAATTCCTTGGGGTGTCTACTTTCCAAAAATGGGTCATTTGGGGGGGGTTTGGTGTTATCCTG